TTCATAGGAAATGAATTCCCATTCAAGATTCACCTATGTCGCCATACTCAATATTTGTCGCATGTGTTTTGTAGTTTTTAAATTTCATATATCGCGTAAAAATGAATTACCCAGACATAATCATTGAGAACTATCTAAGTTGATTGATTTTCATAGACAGGCGGGTCACGTGGGCAATTTGCTAATCTATAATCGGGCACTTCTGCGTGTCCCCGTTGCGATAACTTGATTGGTATGCTATGCTCACATCTGGGAGGCTGTTAGTTTGTTTCTCTCTAATCGACTGGTGGTCTAAATTGAAGTAAGCTATGAAACCTCCGAAAACGCTGTTTGCGATAACGGCGTCTTATCTGTTTGGATGGATATACCCGTCTACTCTCCTCGCGCACGACAAATATCTGTCATTCTCTCCAAGAAGAAATTATAAAGTATCTTAGTAATATACGCCACGAAAATGAGGAGCGATTTCGGAAATTGAAGACAGTTTACTTTAATTGTAAAACTAAGTAATTGTGCTAGTTACTTACTTCGTGACAATTTATTCTAATACACCCATTTATTCTATGATTAATACACAAGTGGGCGCAACGAAAGCCTCTGTAGACAATACAGAGTGGGTTAATAGCCGTGTTTTTTAAATGTCAACAGATCTACGGAATTAACGCAGATTGAAACACTTATTACACATCCCACCCCGAGGCTACTGAACAGAACGTCACAACAACAATTGCTCATGATACAATCTGTGAATCGTTTAACTGAATGTATTAATGTTAATTGGTAGTAAGTCACTAGTAATTTAACAGTATACGTTTTGAAAAACGCAGGATTCCATACAGTAAATTGGGCATGTAAACTCGATAAATTGAGTAAGGGTATATGGAAATTATTGTCCCGGTGATGTATTATTTATCTAATACATCTTTCCTAAAAGTCTACAGATTGTCTACTTTTATATTCAGTCTTTACTTCTCTGTGTAAAAAATGTCAAAGTTCGCCACAATGGCATTGTAGGTTTTCTTCATGTACCACGTGACATGTTGTATCTCTCTATACTCATTAACCGTTTGGACGCCATAATGTATTCCATCAAAATGTTAAGTTTTAACCACTTAAAACAATGATTCAAAAATATAAAAAGTTTCATATGAATAGTTTATATGATTCAAAGTATTATCTTCGTTGTCCAAATGAAGTATTTATTACACATTGATGCAGAAGTGATTATATAACAAACATCATTGTTGCTGCATCGTTTCCATGACAGCGAACACTATCTAAAACACCAGGCATTTTTATTTTGCTGAAACAAATATAGTGTAAAAGATTACCAGAAAACAAACCAATACTATGAGCGATTTGTGCTTTAACCCTCCCTGGTCTACTGCAAACCACAAGTTAAAAGAATAACTATAAATTTATTAATCAAATGTTTATTTAGCTTATAAAAACGATTAATGTCACGTTTTCTGACACGCTTATTAAAACCAGATTACATTTTTGATTTGATTTGATGTTCAAACTTGCAAATTATGCAAAGCGTTCGGAAATAATTGTATTTTATCGGTAATGTGGGTGTTTCTGAAGTATGTTGTGATATAGCTTCGTACATTCAATACTGTCTGCACAAAGCACAGGTTAAAGAAAAACGTGTTTGCTTCGAGTAGCCATTAATTGTTATCAATTCATTGAGTACCAAGGTCAACCTTTTTTTTCAACTGTTGCTCAATACCTGTAGTCAATAAATAAGTAATTTCCATTTGTTCCAAAATTATCACCAAATTTATAAAACAATACATAAATACAAACAAAACTTTGCACCACAATTTTGATGGAGATGATTATGGCGCCAAAATGGTTAACACTTTCCAAGC